CCCTCCCTCTTCCTCTTCTTACCCTCAGTGTGACTGTGAGCAGCTTCTGAACCTTGCTGTATTTCGCGTCTCCAGACTCCTGAGCAGAAGAAATCAAGAATAAATCATCAACATTATCATCATCACTATCACCACTACCACTGTAATTTCTAACACCACCACCACAATCTTCTCCTGCTCCTGCTCCTGCTCCTGCTCCTGCTCCTGCTCCTGCTCCTGCTCCTGCTCCTGCTCCTGCTCCTGCTCCTCCTTCTCTGTCACCACTACAAACAACCACCGTCATTGTCATCTCCTTCACAATCGTTACAACACCATCAGCACACCCTCACCTCGTCGACAGGATACGGGAGCTTCAGCTTCAGTTGGTATCCTGCGCTCTCACTCGAAAACTCAAGGTGTCCAAACTTGATGTCAAGCTGCACAAGCATGTCACAAGAATTGGGATGGGTTGCGTGACGGGAAAGAGCAGGCAGCAGCAGCAGCAGCAGCAGCAGCCGATGACAATCGCACACCTGCATATCGCTGGCGTCTTTCATCAGAGGAAGTTCAATCCTGACAATAAGCTCCTGCATGCTTCTTGAGTTGCCTGCGCCCCTCCCGTCCCTCCTCTCCCCTTCGAGTCCTCCTCCTCAATGCTTCTCAGACATAGGCATCCCTTCCTTTCTCTGATTTCCATTCTCCTCCCTCCCACTTCCTCTCTCCATTCTCTTTCTACCGCTCCTCCCTCCCACTCACCGCCGCTTCATTTCACCGGCCCAAACCCCCAACCTCTCTTGCTCTTCCTGCTCACTCACCTTCGGTCTTCGGCTGAGAGGAAGGTCTCGACCCCCCAGAGCCTCGATGCAGTCGCTGAACTCAATCGTTCCTCTGGCATGCTCGGTGAGAAGGGAGAGAGGAAGGGAGGGAGAGGAAGAACAAGAAAAGATGAATGGATGGAAGCAGCAGGGATGAAGGCGAACACACAGGGTTGGTCTCTCACATATACACAAGTACATGGAGCCATCATCTTCTGCTACCTGTGGACCATGGTGAACTTGGGGGCCTTGCGTTGATCGCCGGAATCTTCAGAAGCCTTCGCGTCCTCCCTCCTCACGCTCTCAGCCTTCTTTTCCTTGCTCTTTGCCTGGCTCGGCACGTCACTCCCTCCCCCCCTCCCCCCCTCCCCCCTCCCCCCTCCTCCCTCCTCCCTTCTCCCTCCCTCACTTCTTTGCGATCAGGAGCGGGCAGGGCAGGTCGCTGCGGTTGCTGGGTGGCATCCTTCTTGAGGCGGTGGGGTCTCACAGTCTTCCCCTTGTACTTCAAGTTCTGCATGATCGTGTAGTCGTACTTCCCGGTCTGCGAATTTCTGCGAGGAAACACTCGTCAGTCGGCCGCAGCAGCAGCATGAAGCAGGAGCAGGAGCAGGAGCAGGAGCAGGAGCAGGAGCAGGAGCAGGAGCAGGCAAGCAGCGGAAAGGAGGAGGGGGCAAGGGGCAGAGAGCAGGAGCCAAGATCAGGGAGGAGCAGCAAGCATAGAAGCAAGAAAGGTTGTTGTTGCCACTCACTTTAACTTCATGTTGCCATTCTGTTCGACAGATTCCAACGCTGTTTGAATCACCAGCCCTTGAAAGCCCGGGCCCTGCCAAGACCTCAATCCCTATCCACGTCCTCGATGCCCCTTCCCCCCCTCCTCCTTCACCTCCCTCCCCCCTCCCTCGCCTCCTGTGCGCCCTCACCTTCATCTCGCATAGCTTGATGGTGTCGTTGTTGAAGAGGATGTCGAACACATGGCAAGGCTTGTCGTCTTTGTCTCGATCCATCCTCATTGACGTGTGGATGTAGGGGATGCTCCAGAACCTCCCATCTCCCTTGTTTCCCGTGCTCTCCATGCTCTTGTACTCCTCCGCTTGCCCTGGGGTCCAGTGAGACCAACAACAGGAAGACCACACAGACTACCTTGCGTTGGCCTTGGCACTCGGTCTGTCCCACAGCAGTTCACAAAGATCTTGGACCCTGGAGCTGATGTCAGCTTCCTCCTCCCTCTCCCGACAGCAGCAGCAGCAGCAGCAGCAGCAGCAGCAGCACCAGCAGCAGCAGCAGCAGCAGCACCAGCACCAGCACCAGCAGCAGCAGCAGCAGCAGCAGCACCATCACCACCACCACCACCACCACCAGCAGCAGCAGCAGCAGCACCAGCACCAGCAGCAGCAGCAGCAGCACCAGCACCAGCAGCAGCACCACCACCAGCAGCAGCAGCAGCACCGGCATCTATCGATTTCGTCTTGACGCAGAACCCCTTCTCGGGCCTCACGATCTCCTCCCCCTCGGGTATTGCCCCCTCCTCCTCCAACTGTCGGAGGTACTGGTCGTACTCGTCCATGTTCTTGGGGTCAGATATGTCGTTCACGTACTCTGCCCAGCACTCATGTCAGGCGGCAAGAGCGGAGAACAACGGGGAGGAGGACAGCGGGGGGGGGAGGGGGTTTCACCTCTGAAGAGATCGACGAATTCCTTCTTCCCCATGCACTCGTCGATCCTCTCAGCCTCGGCGTGCGTCATCTTCACATCGCCCTTCTCTCCCGTTCCGCTCTCACGGTACTGCAGACAGGTTGAGGGTCAGAAGGAGGACCATGGCTCGCAGCATCGTCACCTGTCGAAATATGGCTCGAAGCTCGTCACTGGAGGCATTCTTCAGGATCTCTGCCTCCTTCCTCCGTTGATCGGCATCCATGCGGACAGGCTTCACTTCGACCTGAGCAAGACGTCGTCTCGTCAGCCTCCATCCTCCCTCCATCCCCCCCCCCCCCGCCTCCGCTCCTTCTCCCACCTTCTCCATGATTGCCTGCGTTGAACCACATCCCCACTCGTTCCCAACCTAAGTTTCAAGTTTGCCGCTTAGGGCCGCGGCACTCGGACCAGGTGACACGGGCCGGGCCCGGGCCTCCCCATCACTGGCTGGCTCTCAGTTGGCTGTCAAGGTCCGACGCCTTTGTCCAGCCTGGGTGTGCCAGGTGCCAGGACGGCGGCCCGGTTCCGACTGGCGAGATTTATGCTAACGATCAAGTCGAGTCTCACTTGGAGATTGGCAAGTTGAATGACATCAACGTGATTCATGATGATTGAATTAAAAGTATGGACATCGTGAGTAAGCGGTTACTGTAGTACTGCACAACTTATGAGCAGCATGGCATGTTAGCCTAGTAGCGCCATCCAACAAACATTCAATATGAAACTTGATGTGTTTTGATAAGTACGACGCTGAGAAGCATCGACGTTCTTTCAGCAAATTACTTGCTCCCATAATGCTGACTAATAGCAGGCAGGGACATCATTCTAGTTAACGAACAAGGTGAGTCAGATCAACCCAGTCACTTGCACAAGACTTACTTGTTGCAGAAGTTTGTAAGGTGGGGATACTCGTCGACGATGGTCACCGGGATTCCGGCCAACCTGGTTTCACCCAGTCACAAGACAGCGCTCAGTCAGCAGGGGAGAAGGCATACCGGCCGGACTTGAGTTGACGCAGCTGAGGCAGCATGGCGCAATCGGCGATAGTGACGGAGTCTCCCACGAAGAAACCAGACCCGTTGTCCTTAAGGATGTCCTGATACCTCGGGTCAAGAACAGGAGGAGCGCTAGCATGCATGAAGAACCTCGAAGTAGCCGAGGAATCGCCTCACGTCTCCTCCCTCCTTCATGAGGCTGCTCCGCAGCTTATTCTGGATCTCCTTGCGCTGCTCAGTAGGCAGGTTCTCGTCGTAGCCATACTTGTGAGAGGACACATCAGGAGGGGACGTCGCAGGAAGCATCTGCTCACAAGATGCGGGCGCATGTCAATGTAGATGGATGGAGCGAGAGCCTTGGCAAAGTCCTCCTGCAGACCGCAGACTTCGTCCACCTGGACCTCGGCAGTGAGCAAGGGCCAGGACTCGAGAGTCAGGAGAGAACCTTGAGAGCTTTCATGCAGTCCTCAGGATACAACCCTGTAAGATGACCAACATATCTCAGCATTCCAGCACTTTGAGTTACGGGAGCGTTCTCCTCTACGGTCAAGAGCGGCAGCTGCCCATACGGGGTCTTTGGCTTCAGCGACTGCCATGAGGCAAAATCCACCCTTTCATCCTCGAAGGGAATGTCTCCGACCTTGAGGGCCAGTCGCACTTTCTCGGCTACACCTTCGATGTCGAAGTAGGTGAGCTTCAACTTGGACGGAGGAGCGATGTTCGATCCTGCAAGAGGCCATCAGAGCCGAGGACAAACTGGGGAGGGCAAACTGATCTTCACACACCTTGCGGCGATGCTCGCATGGCGGGGCTGGCGGCAGACATCCCCGTGGGATTCATGGCAGCGACGCTGGGAACAAACGCCTGAGCTGCGACCGCCATGAGCGTCACCGTCGCCACGCGCCAGCCGAGGGAGAGCATTGCTTCGCCACCTTCTAGAGATTCCTCGCTCTAGTTGGGATACCCGGAGCACTGGGCCGCCATTTTCAAGTCGGCGCTGAGGGCCGAGACTAAGAGTCTGGCAGTGGCCGGCCCGGGCCGGGCTCAGACCGCCGGCACCGTCGTGGCTGTGGCTCCGACTCAGTGATCGGACACGAGTGGGAGTGGCTTTGAGTAAAGACTCTGAAGAGGAGTGGCCGCCGGGCCGCCGCCGGATGGTCTGAGCTGAGTGGCTCAGCCGCAGCCGCGCGGCGGCAGCTCAGATCAAATTCCGCCGACCCGGCACTCACGGTAAGCCGCAACATGGCAAGCCTTTGCGGAGCCGATTTACTATTGTACAAATACGATGCCATCTCAATCAGAATCCAAGGAGTTTGGAGGCTCGAGCTCGAAGTCCTCCCCAGCTTTGATTCAAACATTCTCAACATGTCTTGCATTGAACATGAACGGCTGATGTGGAAGGCTCGAAAGAAGACCACAACAATCATTCGCTGCCCTCGACGCAAGCAAATCCGAATATGAGGGTACAACAAGCAGACTTGTGCGCCTGTCCACACCCTGCAAAATTCGCATTACTGCTTCTGAAGCTCGTCGGAACGAGGAGTCCTCCTCCCGCCACCTACCTCTCCTTCGCTCTCCCCCTTCTTCGCCTTCTCCTGCCCCGCCCTCCCCCTCCGCCGCCTTGACCCCGTGTGCACGTACGGCCACTTCTCGATCCCCAGCCGCCGGCATACGATCTTCATCGTCGACTTGCCGATGCCCTGCCAAAGTCTCCGTGTCACCATCAACACCCTCCTCCCTCTGTCCCCCCTCTGCTTACAATCTTGCTCGCCGCCACCTCGAGGCTCTCGTGGAAGTGCTCTGCCAAGAGCTCGGCAGTGATCTGTACAGGCTGCACGGAGGACGAGGTGAGCCTGCGCGAGTGTACTGTGACGGACTTCTCGCTGGGGGAGGCCCGCGAAGCCTGTGGGTCTGGCTTGGTTTCGAGGTCGGCAGAGGAGTCTTTCTCCATGCTTGTTGTGCCCGCCTGGTCTGAGTCGGAGCAAGAGGAGGCCGTGTCGTCTCGGTTGGAGGGCTGGACCTTGGCTTCAGCCACTTGCGGCATGACGTCGTCGAGCTCGGAGTCGTCGAGGCTATCATCCATGACGTCAGGGATGTCGTCGTACAAGGTGGGTCTCGAAGGGCTGTCGCTATCTTCTTTGTGCACGAGAAATATCGTTCCGGAGAAAGGGCAATGGAAATAGTCGCAATCTGCGATGGACTGAGTTTCTTGACCTTGGAAGATCATTCTGGGTTCTTGGAAGGTACTAGACCAGTTGTCTTGCATGCTGTCGTCAATCACAGTCGCACTGTGTCAAGGTTATGATGTTGCAGATGAGGATGGGAAGAAGGGATATTGGCAGGGTTCAAAGGAGTATGGGTTGACGAGACTGGGGGAAGGCAGTGGAGAAGAAGGGGAACGCGATGATAAAGCGCCTGGGACGGGGGCACTATTAGAGACAGTAGGGTGGGAGTGATGGGCTACTAATAAAACTTAGTCACGTCATCCTCTGTATTACCCCCATTTCCCTATGTAAACGACAGTCGGAGTAAGGGTGGGTGCGTTGTAACACCCCCCATATCTGTGGTGGGTCAATGGGCAATTTCACGGAGCTCCATACCACTACCCCCCCATCATACCATTTTGACCCCCATCAGCCTCGTCCATTCTCGGAGGCTGTCCGGCTTATCGTCAATCAACTAAAAGGGAGAGCCATGTAGTAAAGGGTGCAGGGCAGCAACGGCAGCCCATCCCAGCCTAATGGCCCACTCGAAGATTGTTTGCTGCCATTCTAGTTCGATTTAATACGCGGATATACACCTATTGAAAATAGAACTTTTCAGAAGATGTTCGAAAACATAAGCTTTCATGTTGACGCCAAGACATTCGTTGCTGACCAATCACGGTACCATTGTGGCTGGTCATGGGCATCTCACGGGCCCCTCACGAGAAGTGTTTTTGGCCCTTTTATAACAGGCTTGCCTCAGGACGTTGCGAATAGCCCATCGTAACTTTGAGTAAAAAGGGATGATATTGCCCATCGGAGCGACCGCTCCGATTTCGTACGATTCGATGATTACTGAACGGGACGTGACGATCGGAGACAACGCGAATGTTCCGATCAAACTTAAACGCTGGATTCGTGTTTGAAATGTGAACATGAAGAATATTGCGATTGTTGTCCACACAATCCGCCAATCAGCGAGTCTTCCAACTTTCCAACTTGAACTTTGACTGACGTAAATAAACTAAACTTGAAACATGAAATGCGATCTTCTACACTGAAATGAGTGGAACGATCTTATTGTGAGTCAGCTGCAACGAATATGTCCAACTCACTAAGATCTTGTCAACAGATCAAAGTGAATTGAGCCATCTGCATCGTAGGTACAACGTACATTGAAAAAAAATTACAGACCTTTTCCCTGCTCATTTTTCTTCACGCCACCTACCTCTCCTTCGCTCTCCCCCTTCTTCGCTTTCTCCTGCCCCGCCCTCCCCCTCCGCCGCCTTGACCCCGTGTGCACGTACGGCCACTTCTCGATCCCCAGCCGCCGGCATACGATCTTCATCGTCGACTTGCCGATGCCCTGCCAAAGTCTCCGTGTCACCATCAACACCCTCCTCCCTCTGTCCCCCCTCTGCTTACAATCTTGCTCGCCGCCACCTCGAGGCTCTCGTGGAAGTGCTCTGCCAAGAGCTCGGCAGTGATCTGTACAGGCTGCACGGAGGACGAGGTGAGCCTGCGCGAGTGTACTGTGACGGACTTCTCGCGGGGGGAGGCCCGCGAAGCCTGTGGGTCTGGCTTGGTTTCGAGGTCGGCAGAGGAGTCTTTCTCCATGCTTGTTGTGCCCGCCTGGTCTGAGTCGGAGCAAGAGGAGGCCGTGTCGTCTCGGTTGGAGGGCTGGACCTTGGCTTCAGCCACTTGCGGCATGACGTCGTCGAGCTCGGAGTCGTCGAGGCTATCATCCATGACGTCAGATATGTCGTCGTACAAGGAGGGTCTTGAAGGGCTGTCGCTATCTTCTTTGTGGAGGACGCGAACAGCGCCGGAGAAAGGGCAATGGAAATAGTTACAGGTCTCTTTCTTCACTAAGGCTGAGCCTTCAGATGCTGATTCGTTCTTGTGGTACAACTTGATTTGCGAAGTACCTTTTGTCTTAGAAGTTGACTGATCTGTTTTATCTTCATTCTCCATTGTTAGTTTGTTGTATGACTCAAAAACTTGAAGTCGGATGCAAAGTTGATTGCAGGAAGGCAAAATCACTTTGAGTGTGAAGTCAAGAGTAGAAGAGAAGAGGGAGGAGAGGGGGAAGAGGAGAGGGAAGAGAGAGGGTGAAGAGGAGGGTAGATGAGAGGGAAGACAAGAGGGAAGAAGAGTTCAGACTGAAAGGCTGTGTCCAAGGGAGATTGCAAACTCGCAGTTGCGGTGATGCTCAATGGGGTTTCACTCGGGTCAGAGTACCTAGTGACTGGTGCGTGGAGCTAGGGGAAGGGGGGGGGGGGGCGGGGTTGTGGTGTTAATAATATTTTATAACTGACTTCTATATGTATTATAAGTTATAAATTCGATCAGCACTGTCACGGCCCTCGCTCCGAGTTTAGCCGGCTATCCGGACAGGAGCACCACCCTCTACCCCTTGTTTTCTGGAAATTGGTTGGGGTATCGAAAGGTAGGATCGACTGGCAAACACGCAATGGTTGGTGGAGTTTGGACCCTTTTGAACGCACCGTTTGAAAGGGTCTCTCTTCGCAAAATCTCGAGATCCCTGCCAGCGGCTGCCGAGTCGTCGGACGGGTGCCGGGTGCGCACAGGGAGTCAAAACTTCTTTACTCATTTCACACGAAACCAGAATTGAGGAGCACATGAGAGATAGACTGTATGCTAGGACAGTGTGAAACCCAAGCATCCAGATGATAGTATATGAGGCTTGGCAACTCCCAGCGTGCTCGCTCATTGAATCCAGTTTTCCGATACTATTTTCCACCGCCCATCATGGCATGTTAAAGCCGTGAATGTCCAAACTTAATAGCAATGTCCCACAAAACTTGAATGAACTCCGATCTTCTAAACAACTTCCAAGCACAAGCAAAAATGCAACTCAACGTCCCCAAAACATCGAATCCAACCGTTCCAAACACTGCCGCGATTTCGCCGTCACACTGTCACCGGCAAATGAATCCGTAACAACAAGGAACAGAAATTACTCTTTGTTCCAGTTCAGACCGTACGGTTAATCACGCCGCGGTTGCGCAACAATAGTAAAAATTGAGAACTGAGAACAAAGAGAAAATTTTCTCCGAAGTTGTAATCGAATCATGCCAACGCCCCTGAGTCCACCTCCCGGAGTCCAGTCCCGGTCCGCCGGGCACTGGCCCGGGCCAGACTCCAAACTATTTCCAACTCCACAGATCGGACAATAAGTCTCAGTACCGTGGCACCTGAGATTGTCTCTCCACCCGTGTATCTCCAACCTTCGTACAGCTGTAGTACAACCTCAGTCCGATCCAACACGAGTCCAGATGACTCAGTGATCTCACTCAACTCCACGCCAAAACCGCCGTCCGAGCTTTATTCACAGCAACAGATCGTACTGATTTTAACTTAACTTTGAGTAAAAAGTAGAAGTAACTTATCCGAGATCTTAAAGCCGATTTAAGTAAACCTTTAGTACCTACTCCACGCAATTCAGCCCTTCTAGAATGCGGGGTGCTGGGCTTGAAAAGAGGGAGCGAGGGTCGTAGATGCAGCAGCTGCATGCTCGCGGCACGCAAGGGGAGGGGAAAGCTTGCTCCTCACTCACTGGACCGTTTTCGATGCTTAATTTTTTGTTTATTATCCATTTTGATCTCCTGGAGTCGATTTTTCAAGTTGTTTTCCGTGTTTCTTGAAGGAAAACGGACGTTTTCTAAGTGGCTCCCTCCCCCGCATATTTAAGAAGGGTGTTGGCTATTTTCTGATTATGCACAAACAGGCTTGCATGTCAGGTGAAATGAACACAAGGAACAGTAAGAAGTCAAGTTCGAGCAACTTTTCAACAAATACCGAGGCTGCTGGTGAGTTGAGGTCGTTTTTTCATGTTTTTCTCGCTATTTCTGCATGTTTTGAGCCAAAATGTCGGATTTTCTAAGTGAATCCTGCGAGGATCGGCCTGAAATGTTGCAGGTGAGCCGGAAAGGAAGAGAAGAAACACCAACCAAGCTCCCCTGAAGAAGAGGTTCGAAGAAGAAGATCGTGAGGAAATGATCTCTCTAGAGGCGCAGATTGCTAAGGTGGAGAAGGAGATAGTTAAGGTCGAAAAACAGATCAGAGAGGCGGAGAAAAATGCGCTCGATCCAGACATGAATAAGCAGCAGCGGCAATACTGGTGCAAGAAAGAGGAGCAGCTCAGAAAGAAAGAGGATCGGCTTAGAAAGGAAAAGGAGCAGCTTCGCGATCTCTTCCTGATCGAGGCGAAGAGGACTCAAGATTCAAAGAAGCCCGAAGACTTTCTGTCAAAACCTGAAGGTGATGCTAGCAGTGCACAACCTTGACGACTGAAGGTACTGACGGGACTGATAGGCGACATGTTCCTGTCCTTCTTGAACGAGCTTTGTAAGCTTGCGAGGGCAGGCAAGACTTACTCAGCTCAAGAGATTGTCAGCTTTTCGACCTTCTTGGGAGGGAATGAGATTTTTGGAAAAAAGCTTTTCCTCCGAGATTGCTACTTGGATATGAAGCAGGTGATTGCAGAGTACTTCCGCTTGGACACGGAGAAACCGAAGAATGGCCAGATCATCCTCACAGGGAGTCCAGGGATAGGGAAGTCATGCTTTGCCTACTTCTTTCTTCTTCAGCTTCTTGGTTCTGATGCGGAAGTAGTCTATCAGGTAGGAACCGAGTACTGGTACTTTGATGGGACAGAATGGAGTCGGTTTAGAGATGCCGCCGTTTCTGCAACTTTCCTCTCCACTTTCCGGGGGTGGTACATCTGTGACCTGTACAAAGGTCAGGGGAACTACGTGTTGTCACGTTCGGTAAAGACAATCATACTGTCTTCACCCAAGCTTGGAGGGTTCAAGGACATTCTGAACAATGGAGCTGGGCGATATTTTCTGCCAACATGGACTGATGAGGAGATGTCAATCTTCATCGAGATGCAAGAGGATCGCGTTAACGAAGAAGAAGCAAGGAACATCGTCAAGGATTGGGGGAACGTACCAAGAAATGTCATAGTGAGGCCTGTAGACACACTTGAGCAGGCGATACAGACGATAACCTCAATTTCCTCGCTACAGGAAAAGATGAGAGCAGCAGTGAACGAAGACCTGGGATTGCCATCGAGACTGATTCACCTGGTCCCAAGCTCAGACTACAAGACTATCAGTGCTCGAGCATGCTCGCAGAAGGCCGCGGAGAAGATCTTTGAGCAACTTGTCAAAACAGACTGGGATGGACTTGTAAACCTGGCTTTCTCAGGCTCTGATTCTGGGTTGTATACGGCGGCAGGCCTGGTTTTTGAATGCTTTGCGCATGAGGTGCTGAAGAAAGGAGGAAACAGATATAGATTGCGCAGTCTAGGGTCGGGTGAGGATGATGAAGGGGCAAGGGAAGAGATAGATTTGCATATGAAGAAGTCGCAGGCATACTTTGAGTTTCCTACCACAGGACTCAACGAGTGGAAGATCATGAAGAACACATATTGCAAGCCCAAGACATTGAACTTCCCTTGCATGGATGCGCTTTTATTGTCAGATCAGGAGGTCCTCTACATGTTCCAGATGACACGGGCAGAAGAACATCCTATCAAGCTTGGACCACTATGTAAGATATTGACAGCTCTACGAGCCAAGAACAAGTTTGAGAGGGTATGCTTTGTGTTTGTTCTACCCTCAGAGCTTGAGGGGAAAGCATGTTGGAGACGAGCTCAGGTTTTCACGAACGAGAAGACAGCAAGTGAGATGGAGAAGCAGCAAGTGGAAAACGTTACTCAGCACGCGATGTTCTTGTCCAAGGGGGACGTGGCATGGCTAAAGGGAGCGGAGATCAGGATCCAGATCGTAGATAAGGCAAGGTCTCAGAGGGAAGAGCAACTGGAGGGAGGCGATGAGGCGACAACATAAAGGATGAGGGACTGCGATCTTTGACGTTGATGTGCGCTGAAAGAGTGGAGGGCTTGTAGTAGCTCTAGCGGCTACAGATGATTGACGGCTCATGAGGTCATGGGTTAGATCCATGGCAGCAGTCACCATGACGATCATTGTAGCTCAGGCAACAAATATATGTGAAGCTTCCTGTTGGATCAAAGATTGCATCGTTCGACGGAGAATGTAATGATCTAGATCATTCGATACACCTCGAGACAAATGCTGACCAAGAGAATGGATGATGCCCAGTACATGAACACTATCAACAAAACCGTCCGTCCATACTGAACAGCGACGCAGAGCGAAAGTTGGCGCGCTGCCGCGAAAACACCACCAGGATATGACTATCATCACTTGCATCATCATCATCATCTCCAACTTCATCTTCATCATCTTCTTTTTCTTCTTCATTACCTCCATCATCTCCTTCATCATCAACAACATCATCATCTCTTCCTTCACCATCATCATCCCTTCCATGATCTCCTTCATCAATATCAAGATATCCTTCGTCGTTAAATCCATTCATGTATATAATCATCACAGTCATCGTCATTTTGCTCATTATTACCAACATTGTCATTTCCATCTTCTTCTTGTTTTCCTTCTCCTTCATCATCATCTCAATCATCATCATCTCAATCATCATCTCAATCATCATCTCAATCATCATCATCTCAATCATCATCATCTCAATCATCATCATCTCAATCATCATCTCAATCATCATCATCTTAATCATCATCATCATCATCATCATCATCTCATTCTGATCTCCCTCCACAGCCTTGCAAGCCTGAGCTGTCCCCAAAGCATGCTGACACTGGTGGTGGGGACACGGTCAGTGACCGTCCGATCCGTCACGACGGTGCCGGGGCCCGACCCGGCGGCCCGGAGGATCAGTAGTGAACGGGCCGATGGTCGAAATTCAAAAAAAATCACGCACAAATTGGAAATGGCTTATAATAATTGTTGCAACCAGGGGACGGTAGTGATCTCTCTATATGAGATTTCCATCACCCCAGCGTTTCGTTTTAAATAACAAATTAAACACCTGAAAACAAGTTTGAAGGGTTTTAAAATGATCCAAAAAGATAGTTTTGAGGAGCATTTACCCACCTTAAAAATAGTTTTACACGTCTGGCTCATTGTCTGAAAATTTGACGAGTATTTTTGCTTTGTGTATAGGGTTACAGTGCTTATGATACTTCATTTATCTTAGTGCGGCAATCAATAATCAAGCAACCTATATAGGGTGGGTCTTTTCAAGGTTGAGCCATTGGCTCCTTCGAGGTAGGCTTTGAAGCACCCCATCTGCGTCTCACTTGGGGTAGGGTAGTAATAATTGGAGATTTTCCTCGGTGGGGTAGGGTTGTTCAATTTTTGAATGGGGGTCGGCTACAAGTTAGGTTGGTTTTGGAGGCCACTAAAAGGGGAAAGGAAGGGTGCAATCACAGGGGTAATCGGGGGTATCAAAGGAGAGGGTGGATTGGAGACGTAGAGATAATGTCGTTTGGTGTGGGTAGGGTGGGGTACTGTATTTTGTAGGCCGAGGTGTGAACCATGACCTGAAAAGAACCCCTGTAAATCTAATGGGTGGCTATTCAATTGACCTTACAGTGGTCAATTTTGACTTGGTGGGTGGGCGAAAAGCTTGCATGAGCACAGGGTCAAGGGGGTCTAAAAAATACGCTCTTGCTAGCTGTTATTGCAGGGGTGGGTGTGGTTGTGAGCATTGTGGGGGGGGTTATAAATATTCGTATGTTTCCGAGATTGAATTATCGTATCTTCAAATTTGATCAAAGATTTTGGTCTTATTTTCTAAACTAGTCCATATAAATAGAGCCAGATTGTGGGTGGGTCGACTTGGGGTAGGGTTGAGATTGGAATGGGCCGTTGGGTGGGGGTAGTATTGCTACATGGGATCTCAGGAGACTCGATTGAGGGGGTAGGGGTGGGGGGTGGAATTAGGCAGGTGTGGAGGGAGTGGGACAAAGGCTTGCGAGCGCGCTCATGGATTACTGCGGCAAGAACAAGGAGCTTCAGAGAGCAGAGAGCATCCACGGAGTTTGTGAGCTTGTGCTACCCGGAACGACAGTTACAGACTCGCCTTGAACGCCTCTGTACAGTGGAAACTTAGTCTATCGTTGGTTGACGCAGCTAACTGAGCCACTTAGCTTCTTCCCTTCGAGGGCTGTGGTACAAGTTCATTGAACCGGCGATGTTTCCCTTGAATGCTTTGTCCTACGTCAATTCTTCCATAGGATATCTCCTGCATAATAAGTCTACAGAAGACTTCCAGAAGTCATCCAGTGTATGGATTCACGACGATGGTGATCTGACTGGTGACGACCATCTCAATAGCGAGTCTGAATTTGAACTTGAAAAATCGTCTTGGTATGGACTTGAATGGCTGCGAAGAAGAAGATCTCCACTCAAAGCAAACAATTTGTTGATGATCGAAGGAGAACCTCTTTCTCGTGAAATTTTGGATCGTTACTTGAATGACCAGACTAAGATTTATGATGAAAACGTGTATGACAGACGGCAGAGATTGAGTGAAGACATGGACTGCTGTGACGTCTGTGACAGTCTGGACTCTTGTAATACGACAGTAGATTTGTGTTTAAACGACACGGCGTGCTCGGGACATTGTTTCTGTGAGCATTATGAAAAGGAGTCTTGCTCAAGGACAGTGTCATCGAGTGCATGGAACCATGTTGATCTGGACCAGTTGCAAGCAGTCAACGATCAGTATGATCAAGATCATTATTTATATTACGGATCTTCAACGGCAACAGGAACGGTACCCCTGATGTCACTCAACAGCTGGGGGGGGAAGTACAAATTTCAGATTGAGATTTTGCAGAATGGGGCGACAGTCCAAGAAAGTACAGATACTTCGGTATCATCTTTTCGATTGTACAAATGGCGGCTTGACTTGAAGATGATTTCGAACAAGTGAATGATGGTTGCCACAGTGGGAGGTTGTGTAGGTCGGATGCCAGAGATGGGCGTCAGGCTTTTAATTCCGCTCGGTCACTGAATCAATTGTTCGGAGCCTCAGGATGGTTCGTCTCAATAGTAGGCTTCTGACTTCGATGACTTTCCTTCTAGAGAGTCTTGTAAATAAATTTTACTGGAACTTACAACTTGAAGTCACGAGCCCCGACTGACTCGGCGGCGGCCCCCGGCCGCGGCTGCGGCCACCGTCGGCGACTCCGTCACTGGCAGTGATCGGCGCGGCGCCGCGGCCTATGAGGGGCGGGCCCGCCCGGCCAACAGCTGGCAATCATGGCATCGCGGCGGCGCTCACTAGGCTGTCATTAGTCATTCATTCGAGTCACTGGCACTGTCTGCCGCCGCGCCGCCCGCGCGGCGCTGCCGCGGTGGTGACGGTCCGGCCCTTACGGTACACGCCCTCATCTCCACTCAGGCGGCAGCCCTGCCATCGTGACCGTGACACCGCCCGGCGGTCTCGGAAGGCCAGCGCCGGGCGCGCCGGGCCCGGCCGTTCAACACTCAGCCGTCAGCCGGTCTTTACTCAAAGGCCGGTCACGCCATCGTCCGAGTCGGAGCCCGGGCCCAGTGAAATCGAATTCAACTTAAAATCTTGATTCCTAGAAGAGTGAAAAAGGCATCAGTTCGTATAGTTGCGGGTGTTGGCGTGCCACGGCAAAACGATCATGGCTCCATTATCCTCACGGCCCCCATTATGATAACGAGGTATTTCATAAAGTCAAAGTACATCGCTTCGGTCCATGTTGCTCCTGGCACGACTCTGCACCGCAACAATCCGAATCGATTTGATTTTGAATCGATGTGATTCGACTTTTGTCACGACGAGTTGCATGCAAGGCAACGCAACAATTTGAAACGATGAAGTTTTGCATCGTTTCCGGCTTCGAATTGGGAACAAAGAAAGCATTGTTCGAATTGTTGCTGGTGTTGTCATGCCACTTTTATCTTTTTTTTTATAACAAAAGATTTGTGTCACGTCCTACCAACGCTCCAGAACGCAACAATACGAAACGTTGCTATTTCTTATCATTGATTCCTGCCGGCCGGAGCGCCGCGCAGGAGCAACAATATGAAAGGTTGCTATCTTGGAAGTATGACATTAAAAGAGGAGGCGTTCGATCGGGAGGAACTGGGGCAACAATGCGAATCGATGCAATAATAGCTTTTCGAACGAAACGTTGCGTCTTGGAAACTTGCCCGCAACATTCCCAAAGGATGTCCTTTTTCCCCGTCAGGTCAAAGTTTATTACTCAAAGATAAGTAAAACTTCACCCGCACCAGATATTGTGACCGTTGCCGAAGGCAGTATAATGAAATGGCTGCCCCAAGGACAGGGAGGCCTTGAGCTGACGAAAGATCCTGGACCGGATGCGTTTGCAAGCCGGATCACCTGAGACGTCTTGCAAGGCCGAGAGACCATCCAGCGCTAACGTTTCTTTGTTCGCCGAGCGATCCGCCAGCCACCACAGAAAGCGCAACGCATCATCCTTCAAGAGTCCATCAGTGCTGGCGATGATGGGAAGAAAGGCCTTTGGCGGGACGTGCTGATCATATGCATTGCTATGCCCTCGGATCTTCCACTGTGCTTCTGCTTGCAGTTTGCTCCGAGCCTGGTCCGGTATCCCATCATTGTCGAATACATCTGACATGCTGAAGTCCAGGATTAACCCATGCCATCGGCCTCCAGTAGCCTGCAATTTCGGAAGTTCAAAAATCCCTACGTGATGATCTCCAGGGTCATGTTGGAAAACATTCTGCCTGGCATTGCACTTCTCATGCGCATCAGTCCATAACGGGCTGCGGTGCCTGCAGGTTGCCATGTGTGTGGTCCCCCCAGGATGACGGAGAAGATGTTGGCATTTATCGCAGTGCGGCGGGAGGTCAACCGGCAATGCATGAAGAAACTTGTCAGCGGCAGCCACCAAGCTGATGGGCTGCTGCTCAAAGATCCCAAGGTTTGTACCTTGGATAATTGAGTGCCAGATCCTGCGCTGAGGGGTAAACTGAGACAGAAGTTCATCCACCGGGTGACCTGGTACTCGAAGGGGAGTAGAGAAGCTGGAGTGGTGTGCCAACAAAGATCGCTGGCGCTCAGAAAGGTAAGCTCGAATACTGCAGAATGAGGAAACTCCGAGAGGAACTGAGCCGTGAGCTCCCGCTGGGCGGGGATGAAAAGCACACTACAAGACGTCCCAAATAATTCAGGCTAGGGGATCCAGTCATTGTCGCACGCCTGAGGAAGCTCCGCCAAGGAGGTGTACGCCGAGATTCCCTGCTCCATCAAGTGCCTGTGAGTGTCCAAGAAGGCAGCCAGCATGGGGACAACATTCCCAGCGTCCGCTTGCTGCGGTTGGCGGATTCGAAGTTCGGTCTCAGAATTGATCCGGTGGAAGAGTGGCGGTGTAGGTAACATCCAATGCTGGAAGATGGCAATGTCTCCCGCCCATTTGAGAAACTTGGCAGTCGCAGACCAGAATGCGGTGTAGGCCACGCCCTCCTGCGGGGTGAACCCATCTCCTCCAGCACTATAAGGCAACTGACGTTTGAAGTAGGCGAACTGAAGGTCAGATGGAGGGGTGTCAGGGGCAGGTTGCAGGTCGGATGACATGCACTCAACGGTGCCTGTTGCTGAGGCCACTGAAACCTTCGCAAGAAGACGGAGATTCGCGACGTCAAAGCACTTGCACTGGGCAGCTGTCAAGGCCGGGGAGATTCCACGTAAGAAGTATTGGAGGGTGGGAACGTGGGTGGTCTTCAAGAGCTACGTGAGACCCAACGCAATGGAAATTAAACGGTTCCAGCTAGGTCGGCTCAGCGTTGAGGGCATTCACCTTTGCAGTGATAAACTCTTGCCATTTACAAATAAGTCTTGAGTAACAAAGTGCCAGTAATGAAGTCCGGGCCGACACTCAAGCCGCTAAAGTCTGTCATGGTTTTAGGCCCCCAAACTTGAAAGTTCAGTCTGGCCGCGCATGGGCACGGAACGGTTTCAGGCCGCCAAAGGCTTGTCTGGACTCCGGGAGGGCACTGTCAGCTGGGCACTCACTGCTGGGCCCGCCCACCCAACGCCGCCAGTCAGGCTTCGCCTCCTAGACTGGTAAACTGACTAAGTAAGAAACAGCTCAGCTGCTTGCCTAACTTAGTTCAAAAGAGCGCAGCTGGACCGTCGCGGCCGGGAGGGTTATGTTGTCTTAAGTTGACCGCCTCGAACAAACTGAATGGACCCGTACTTGCCGGTCACCTGCCAGCTGGGGTCTTGTCGAAAGAGTCGCTCCTCCTTTTCTGCACAATAAGTCAGCGATGACTGGTACGGTGGAAGAGTGAACGGTTGAGCAATGCACACAAGGAGGGAGGCAGGGAGGGAGGCAGGGAGGCAGGGAGGCAGGGAGGCAGGGAGGCAGGGAGGCAGGGGTACAGTAGGAGAGAAAGACAAGGAGAGGGTTTGAGGGATGGGGGAAGGGAGATAACACCCGAAATCGTTTACCTTTGTTGATTCCAACCGCGATCTCGCACTTCATGGTCCTCAGCATGAGCAGGGCCGAGGGGAACCATTCTTTGACGATGTCCTGAACGCCCTTCATCCATCTCCCCCGAACTCGACAGCACATACCTGCAGCGACGTCTCGCATGGCCACTGACGGTCGCCGATCTGAGGAGGAGGAAGAGTGAGCAGCGTGAGGATAGAAGGAGCAGAGACAGACCAGGCGCCTGTAGTTTGCGTCTCCTTTGACGATGACGAGAGAGGAGGACCGGAGCTGCTGCGCGAGGGAAGAGGGCATCTCCCAGAAGAGGCGGGGGGAAGTCCAGAACATGTGACTGTAGGGTCAAGGAAAACAGAATCTCAGCTCCCCTCCGCCCCCTCTTCTCCCTCACCTCTGAATTTCGATGAGGCCCTCGTTGACGTGCCTTCGCAGGTTCAAGCCAAGCTTCTGTATCATGCGGGGCGACGTTAAGGCAGAAAGTCAGGTGGAGGCAGCGACAAGCAAAGGAAACAATGAACGATACGTGAGGAAAGAGAGAAAGCTTGAGACAGAGGCAGACACAACAGAAGAACGATCATTGATACAGGAGGGGAGTGCGAGCAGGAGATGGATGGAAGGGAGAGGGGGAGGGAGGGAGGAAAGGGGAGGGAAAGGGAAGGGGAAAAGGGAGGAAGGGGAGGGGAGGGGAGGAGGGACGTAGGGGGGAGGAAGGGAGGGAGGGAGGGAGCGAGCGAGCGAGGGAGGGAGGGAGGGAGAAAGAGAGGGAGGAAGGGAGGGACGGACGAAGGGAGAAAGGGAGAGACGAAGGGAGGGAGGGACGAAGAGAGGGAGGGAGGGACGAAGGGAAGGAGGCGGTACAACATTTCACCTTCAGCAGCGCGTTGTCATGATTTTCCAACGACGTGATGTGCATGTCGACCTGCAGGCTATGAGAGGAGGAAGCGGATGAAGCGAGAGGGACGGACGTCTTTGGTCATAGCGTCCGAGACAAAAAGAGGCTCTCCTTTGGTGTGGAGACGAACCTAGAAAGGAGGGGAAGGAGAGGACGGGGCTGGTTGGTAAGTGCACACGATTCGAGGCAATCTCAACCTTGTTTGCAAACCCGTAGGAAAGGAGGAACTCCGTGAGGACGAGGTCACAGCTGCGAGGGAAGATCACACCAAACATTGTGTTGAGTTGTTGGGTCAGGAAGGAAAGTTATCTTACAAGAGCTCGATCCCTGAGTTGTCAAGCACAAAGTCTATCCTGTTCGTGTCGCTGTCAAACCCTGGACGAGCAAAACGCGTCAGCCCTGGGCGTGTGGAACCTCCACTACCTGAGATATGACGGACAGCCTCCTCTAGATGGTTGACGACAAGTTGGGAGGAAGAGCAGTTCGACGTGATCGTCTCAGCAGCGTTGACGTTCTTCGCATCCAGAGGAGCAAGAGCTGCGCATCAAAGGGGTCTGAGAAAGGCAGGAGGAGGAGGAGCAGCAGCAGCACAGGAAAGGAAGGAGGAGGAGCAGAAGGATGAAAAGGAGGAGGAGGAGCCCACCGAGGTCGCCCTGGTTGCCCCACAAGGAAGAGAACATCTTGACAACGAGTCACTAGCGCATGCAAGGACGGCAGGGGAGCATACGAATAAACCGAGGTACTCGCGCAGCCTCTCCTGCAGCACGAGGTCAGAGGACGAGAAAAGTGTAAGACCAGGAGCACGAGGAAGAGGCAGCGGAAGGCACGTGCAATGAACCTCGAGTTCGTCGTGCGAATGACGCGTCAAGATCAGCTCCTTGTTCGTCATCCCCGTCACCAGGCAGTTGCACGTGCAAGCCGTCCACTACCTCTCGACTAACAGACCCGACGGCATCCAGCAGCAGCTGCACCGTCTGGGAGGAAGGAGAGTTTCAGTTGGAGAGAAGAAGAGGGTGGCAAGCGAGGAGAGGGTGCGGGTACGAGTAGGAGGCAACGAGGGGATGGAGGGAGGTCATGAAAGGTGAGAACAACAGCAAGAGATGAGTGGGGAGATAGGAAAAGAATAAGAGAGGAAGGTAGAGAGGGATGGAAGGAGATGGGTTGGGGCGGGGGTAGCGCTGGAGGAGGGACGCCAAGCGATACCTGCAGGAAGGAGGAGCTAGCAAGAGCCGATCGGATGCTCTCAACCTTCTGACTCTCAAACGGATCCCTGAATAACGTCGGGCCCTCGTCGAAGTAACCGACCTCGTCTGCAGGAGTTATGTGCGTAGCAAGCAGTAGGAGGAGGAGGAACGGAGCAGGAGGAGAAATTAGAAAAGGAAGGCGGATGCAAGAAAGAAAAGCAAGGCAACGAGTGGAGCAGGAGGAGCAGGAGGAGCAGGAGCACCTAACACTCTGCGGTGGAAGTACATCTCTGTACTAATGAGTGGCCTGGCCTCAGACCAGTCTCGGATGGAGGACTGAAGATCTAGCCATCTTAACCAGGCAGGAATTATCCAAGAGCTCGTATCCTCGCCACCCTCCTACCTCTTCCACTCTTCGTTAATCTGCCCGCATTCGCCTTCGGATATGTTGGTGTGCGGCCTTATGTGCAAAGGAGCTCGCAGAGGAACTTTGGTTGGAACCTCGTCCGCGAGACTCGCCAGTCGCTTCCTTGCCGGCTCGTCTACGACCCCGTCCTGAAGGGAGTGAGAAACACAAGCCAAGTTGAGAACAACCTTGATCAGACGGTTCGCGACTGCAGACAGACGGTTCAACAGCGTGTGCCTAGCAAAGCTTCCTGCATGGCAAAGTGAGACGATCAGCATGAGTAGCAGTAGCAGGACAAGAAAGAGCAGCAGGAAGAGCAGGAGCAGGAGCAGGAGCAGGAGCAGGAGCAGGAGCAGGAGCAGGAGCAGGAGCAGGAGCAGGAGCAGGAGCAGAAGTGGATACCTTGAAGCTGAGGATCGAGAAAAGATGGTCGAATGTGCGACCTCACAAGGGAGTAAGCGTAAGACGCACAAGAAGTAGCCGAGCGGTTACAGAGCTGTCGGTTCCTTCAAAGTCTCTTCCTTGGGGTCGAAGAACGTGTGCCCCTTCCACGCTGCTGGTGCTCTCTGTTGGTCAGCCAAGTAAGATGCTCGAGGAGGAAGTGCGACGACTGGAGCAAGGAGTGTGCATACATGACAGATAAGTAGGACGTGATCGGGGAAAGGGAGCTCACGAAAGAGCGAGGAAAATATGAGGCAAAGGAGAGGGAAGGGCCAGAGGATAGCAAATGGGAAGGGAGGCAGAAGCAGGAGAGAAATA